GCAACCCCATGGACCAGATCATGCCAGGCCTTCCGGTCTTCCGCCGTCCTCTGAAGTTTGCTCAATTTCATGTTCGTTGCATCGATGACACTGTCTAACCATCTCATCCTTTGCCGTCCCCGTCTTCTTTGACCTTCAGTCTTTCCCAGCATCAGGGTCTTCTCCAGTGAGTGCTCCCTTCTCATTGGGTGGCCAAAGTAGTTGAACTTCAGTTCTTCCGCTGTCCTCTGAAGTTTGCTCAGTTTCATGTTCGTTGCCTCGATGACACTGTCTAACCATCTCATCCTTTGCCGTCCCCGTCTTCTTTGACCTTCAATCTTTCCCAGCATCAGGGTCTTCTCCAGTGAGTGCTCCCTTCTCATTGGGTGGCCAAAGTAGTTGAGCTTCAGTTTCATTATCTGGCCTTCCAGGGAACAGTCAGGGTTGATTTCTTTTAGGATTGACTGATTTGTTCTTCTTGCAGTCCAAGGGACTCTCCAGAGTCTTCTCCAGCACCATAGTTCAAAAGAATCTATTCTTCGGTGCTCGGCCTTCCTTATAGTCCACCTCTTGCAGCCATACATGACTACTGGGAATACCATTGTTGCCCATCTGGTGATGTCCATGTGTAGAGTCGCCTCTTAGGTTGTTGGAAAAGGGTGTTCGCTATGACCAGTGTGTTCTCTTTGCCCTGCTTCATTTTGCTTTCCAAGGCCAAACTTGTCTGTGATTCCGGTTACCTTTTGACTTCCTACTTTAGCATTCCAGTCCCCTATGATGATGAGGACATCATTTTGTAGGTTGTAGGTCTTCATAGAACTGGTCCACTTCAGCCTCTTCTGCATCAGTGGTTGGGGCATAGACTTGGATTACTGTGATGTTGAATGGTTTGCCTTGGAATCGGACTGAAATCATTCTGTCATTTTTGAGATTGTATCCCAGTACTGACTTTTGCACTCTCTTGTTGACTAAACTGAGACTACTTTATAAAAGAGCCAGGCCTCCCGAAACATAGATGCACAAACAGCACTGCCCTCTGCTGGATGAGACGACACAGACCCATCCCCGTGTTTCATAGCAACGGAGACAAATGTGGTACAGGGGCTAGCGATGTGTTCTCTGCAAATGTATGCAACAGTGCCTTGACATTGCCCCCTCCCCTTTAGAAGTAGGGTCTTTAGAACACAAAAACTGCAAAGACGGAAGGGGCTTAGCTCTTTAACATCCCACCCTTCCCTGATTCCAAATGCTCCCCTCCCTGACCCCATCATCACTCTTCATCCAACGAGGAGGCTTAAAACACATACATGAAGCTGCCTCATATTAAACCAGACCCTGGATCCATCAAAGTCATTATTGCCTATTCAGACTGGGGCAGCGGCTCTCCAGGGTCTCAGGCGGAGGTCCTTCCCATCACCTACTGCCTGGTCCATTCAAATGGAGATGCCGGAGACTGAACCTGGGACCTTTTGCATGCAAGGCAGAGGCTCTTCCACTGAGCCACAGCCCTTCCAAATGTGTGTTTGGGAGGGTGAACATGTCCTTGAAATCCTGCAGGGAGAAAAGCACTTGGGGAGAATTTACAGTTGGGGGTCGAAATCACAGTGATTAAAAGGTTACGCAACCCTCTATCTATGCCATTTTCCTGCTCTAAATTCCCCCGTTGTCAGAACAGTTTACTTGCTTTAAAGAGAAGTGTTGGGGCACTGTTAAATGTGCTAGCATGTAACATGTAGTTTGCCCTTAAATCCATGGCAAGAGAGTTTAGTATCCCACATTTCAGATCTCCTTTTGCATCACAAACAAAGTTTAGCTAACCCTAGACGAGAACATCCCCACCCCCATGGCAGCATAGCCAACACCCATTCCAAGAACAGTTTACTTGCTTTAAAGAGAAGTGTTGGGGCACTGTTAAACGTGCCAGCATGTAACATGTCGTTTGCCCTCAAGTCCATGGCAAGAGAGTTTAATAGCCCATATTTCAGATCTCCTTTTGCATCACAACAAAGTTTAGCTAACCCTAGACCGTAAACATCTGTACACAAGGTGAAATGCATGCAATAATTGGCTTCAAACTCAAATTTCTCCTGTTTTGCACAACTGTTAAGACTCTACCTGTTGACTGCCACCTGCAGATCCGGACGACAGATATTGTCTTCACCGCAGTCCAGAAGAATGTGAGCCTAAATGTTTGAAAAAAGTTAGCTTAGGCTTGAATTGTTCAGTCCCCATAAGGATTTTTGCAAATGATTAAAAACCCTTGCTGTAGGGTTGTCCACCTCCAGGTATAGCCTGGGGACTTCCCAGAATCACAACTGATTTCTAGACGACAGAGATCAGTTCCCCTGGAGAAAACGGCTGCTTTGGAAGGTGGACTCTATGGTATTACACACGGCTGGGGTCCCTTGCCTCCCCAAGCCCCATCCACCTAAGGCTCTACTGCCAAACCTCCAGGAATTCCCCAACCCAGGACCGGCAATCAATGTTCCCTCTAAGCTGTGGAGTTTTGTGAGCAAAGGTTCCACTTTGTGAGCTGCTGGCATTAAAGTTGTGAGCGAGTGACTTGGCTACTGCATGAATTAGTCTGCTCCAGAGCCCTCCTTCCTGAGCTAAAACAAAAATGAGTGAGCCAGAGGCTAAAAAACTGTGAGCTGGCTCACACCAACTCAGCTTAGTAGGGAACACTGCCGGCAATCCTACCTTGCTGTTTACTTGGAACTGCTAAAATTAGTGCTAACAAGAGTTAGGAACATGAAACCTTCTCCCCTAGGAATGAAGTGGCACGTTGTGAGGGTGGTACGGAGAATATCTTTTCATGGTGGAAAGCTGGCCCCTCCCTTCCCTCCCACAGCGCTGAAATAGGAAAGTTTACAATGAAGAACTATTTTTTCTTTAAAATCCTAACTGGGAAGACAGCGGGGAATCTGTCACATTTCTATCCCAACTGTTCTCCAAAGGGTTTTACAAGGAGATATGTCCTCACATCTGTGCAATGATGTGGGGCAAAACCTATTATAATTTGTTATAAAAAGGTAAAGGTAAAGGTTTCCCTTGCTTGAAAGCCAGTTGAATCTAACTCTAGGGGATGGTGCTCATCTCCGTTTCCAAGCTTAAGAGCCAGCGCTGTCCAAAGACTTCTCCATGGTCATGTGGCCGGCATGACTAAACACCGAGGCGCACGGAACGCTGTTACCTTCCCACCGAAGTGGTACCTATTTATCTACTTGCAGTTTCTTGCTTTCGAACTGCTAGGTTGGCAGGAGCTGGAACTAGAGACGGGAGCTCACTCTGTCATGCGGCACCCGGGTCTCAAACTGTCGAACTACAGACCTTCCAGTCTGCAGCTCAGCATCTTGACCTCTAAGCCACTGCAGCTCCCATAATTTGTGAAGGACCGACTTATTCTGAGACGAGGAGACTGAACTGCTTCCACCCCTATGCAATCAGACCAAACAGGCCTATTTCTAAGAATAGTGGCAAAATTGTTGCAAAATTTCTCTTTGGTGCTACTTCTATTCGATCTCTATTCAATTGATTGGTTCTTTTCGCTGGTATATCTATATGACAACTCGTTTTACACCTTTTTTAGGCAAGCATTATTTTATGTTGTTATTGTTGTTCATGAGTCTGCGAGTGTTACATGCCAATAAAGGTAATTGGATTGATTGAAGAATCGTGGCGATAATTAACTTCAGGAGAATTTGCAGATGCAGAAGTGTAAACCAAACATTTCATGAATAAATCTATTAATTTTGTACCTGTTTGCTGATGTTTGCAGGAGTGAACTGGTTGAGGATGGGCTGTAAACCAGTTGAATCTGCAGCTGTTTTATAATCCAGTTGATATTCCATGAATATAGTGATGGGAGTAAGCTTGTCTCTGAATTCAGATTCATCCTAAAATGAAACAGAAATGAGGTCAGCATTACTAACAACAACATCGCTCACTGATAGTGAATTTACAGACCAATCCTGAACACCATTACGACCGCCTAAATTCATTGAAGCCAATCCGTTTAGAATTAACTGTCAAGGATAGCACTGTTATCTTATCAAACCACTATATTGGTTCTTGGAGGGTAAGTTTATTCTTTAAAGCTATCCACTGATTTAATGGAAACAGCACTTTAATGGGAAAGGTAGCTATTTTAATAGTTTTTTTAAAAAAAGCCAGCCACTCTGTGTGTGTGTGAGAGAGAATTAATTAATTAATTAATTAATTCCCAGAAGAAGAAATAGGGATCACAATCCACGAGTTCAAGTCCCATTGAAATGATGAGAGAGAATTAATTAATTAATTAATTAAAAAAGCATGGAGCCTTCCCAGAAGAAAAAAATAGGGATCACGATCCACGAGTTCAAGTCCCATTGAAATGAATGGGGCAACTGCTGTGTGCTAAAGACCCTGGTTTTTGACAGAACTTCAATTCCTCTGGAGTGCATCCAGAGGAACACAGCCCAGCATACAGAACATAGCACTTTACAGGCAATCTGGAAGCAAAAAACATGCTTCACAAAGTGGCAAAATGAACAGGCGCTAATACTTATAAGAAGCACTGTTTGCAGTGTTACAAATCCAACTGTAAGTCCACGGTGGCTAGCCCAAAGTCATGACTCAGCCCCAAGCCACGTGATAAAGATAATAGCCTTCAGTTTCGAACGAGGTCAGAATGACACCCAAACCCCATTTACACAGAAAACCCTTTTCCGAGACAGAAAGTCTTTGTGGGCCAAAAACAAACTGTAAACATTAGACTGCACGTCCCTGACTGTGGACTTCACAAGCATTAAGCCAACATACATTATTCACGTTCACTGACCCTTAAAAAAGCGAACAGTTCTTCACAGTGCTTTCGGCCTCCTTTGACGACTGTCATGTTCTTAGAGTGGCCGGACTGTCTGTTGTGGAGAAAGAGGGCTCTCCGGATGGCACCTTTTTGCTTGAGTTTGTCCAACAGCAGCTCTACATGGAAAGCTATCGACAGATGTTCTGTTTAGTTAAGGAATGGCTAAGTCTGTGGTACTCATCAAAGTAATGTGCGGGGTGGAGTTCCAAGAAGGAAAGGGACCCAGTATCCATAAATCCTGGCGAAACAAGTCAACGGTTCAGGAGACTGAGAAGGTGATTGGTTAGGAGCACCCAGGGCAGGCTAGCAGGGTTTGCCCTTGAGACAGCTGCTCCTAGCCAATCAGCAGTCAAACACCTTTTCTATTTTGATTCCAGGTACTTCCTTACTCCACTGCCATCTTGCACTCCTGCCAATCAGGCCCGTAGCTACAGTGGGGCATTTCGGGGCTCTGCCCCCTCAAATGTGAGGCACGCCCCACAAGAGCAGCTGCCCCTCTCCCCCCTCCCTCCCCCTCCTGTGACATTAAAAGGGCCCTCCAGCTGATCGGCAGGAGCACATGGCCCGCCGATCAGCTGGAGGGTCCTTTAAATCTTGCGGTTGCCCCTCTCCCTCCCCTCCTCCAAGATTAAAAGGGCCCTCCATCTAAACAGTGGACCCTTTAAATCTTACAGGAGGGGAGGGAGAGGGGCAGCTGCTGGCTCCACACCTCCCCTGAACTCCAAGCGGCGAAATCGCCACTTGGGAGTTCAGGGAAGGCTACCCCTCTCCCTCCCTCTCTCCCGCTGCCCCACAACATTTCCCCATGCCCCACCCACCCAGAATTTCTGGCTATGGGGCTGCTGCCAATAAGGTCATAAAGCCTCCCCTGACACTTCTGTCTCCACTCAGTGGCAGCCAACTCACCCTGCCTCTTAGCCTCTCACACTGCTTTCTCACCCTGCTTCATTTCTTAGGAATCTTATAGTACAAGTTGAAGCAGAGCTATGTCCTTCTAAACCCATTCATCTCAAGGGACTCAGAAAAGTGTAACGTTGCTTTTGTCCTCTCAGTGGCTATTCTTAAGCCAAGTGCTCACAAATGACAGGGCGGCCAAGGTGATAAACTGGTATCTCAACAGCAAGTGTGTCAGGAAGAAGCCAGTTTGGTGTGGTGGTTAAGTGCGCGGACTCTAATCTGGGAGAACCGGGTTTGATTCCCCACTTGCACCTGGCTGGATGACCTTGGGCAAGCCGTAGCTCTAATAAGACCTGTTCTTGAAAAAGAGCAGTTTCTGTCAGAGCTCTCTCAGCCCCACCTACCTCACAGGGTGTCTGTTGTGGGGAGGGGGAAGGGAAAGGAGTTTGTAAGCTGCTCTGAGACACCTTTGGGTAGTGAAGGGCGGGGTATAAATCCAATCTCCTCCTCCTCCTCCTCACAGTTCTCTCAGAGGTGTTCTCTCAAGAGCAGTTCTGTCAGAGCTCTCTCAGCCCCACCTACCTCACAGGGTGTCTGTTGTGGGGTGGGGGAGGGAAGGAGATTGTAAGCTGCTCCGAGACTCCGAGTGAAGGGTGGGGCAAAAATCTAAGACCTTCTTCTTCTTGCTTAGCTTTCCCCAACAACTTTATTTTCTAGAAGCAGGGAAACTTTCTGTATGAAGGAGCATTCAATCACATGAACTCCTGGCGGAAGCACTCCAGATCAGAAACAGGTTTTACCACCTCATCAGCTGTTTATGACAAGGAAGCCTTTAAGCATTTCAGAGCTTTGAGGTCAGAGGTGTCCTGCTTCAGACATTGTGGCAGCTGGGTCCAGCAGTGACTTACTCTCCTGCTCGGGCCTTCGTCAGCTCCATCTGCTCCCACCACCACCCATCTGCCCCCCCTCAGAGCTCCCAAAAATGTGTCAATTAGTCACCTACTGGTGGGTTCACTGACATGTCCTAGATCCTCTATATGATTCAGAGAATCCCACACCAATATATTCAAGTTTACATGAATGCTGCTTTCTAGCATCCTCTGCCTAACCCCTTTAGCCAGAGGGGCAGGGTAACCGCACAATCCTAAACAGAGTTACACCCTTCTACCCTGCAGCCCTAAAAGGGGGCGGTGGTACAGGCAGTTAAATGCCTGTAGAAATAGTCATCTCGAACAGCTGTAACAGCGGTTCGAATACCACCGTGGTCGGGGTGAGCTCCCGACCCTTGCCCCTGCTCCTGCCAACCCAGCAGTCCGAAAGCCCCTTGGGGCAATTAGGTAAATGGGTACCTGTCCGTAGGAGGAGAGGGGGATACCCCTCCCTAGAAATTGGGCTCCAGCCAAGCGAGGAATCGAGAAGCGGCAGCGGCATGGCGGCGGTCAGTACGGAGGAAATGAAGAGAGGCAGCGACATCCCAAGGAGGCGGTTGGCTCGGCAGCTGATGACGTGGCCAGCAGGAGGATGTCCGGAGCCGCAAGGACGTTGTGACGCCCACCGCGGCTGCGCACCAGGGCCCATAGCCAACAGCCCCCGAGAGGAGTTGCCAGAGAGCCGAAAAAAAACAGCGGAGGCCGCGGAAGACGCACCGGAGAAATCTCCAGATGACAGAGATCAGTTCCCATGGAGAAGATGGCTGCTTTGGAGAATGGCCTCTATGGCGTTATACCCTGCTGAGGCCCCTCCCCTCCCCAAACCCTCCCCTCCCCAGGATCCACCCAAAAAATCTCCAGGTATTTTCCAACCAAGAGCTGGCATCCCTAGCTTTGCCTCACAGCAAGCTAACTCCTACCCACCTCCAGCCGTTTCAGCTCAGGAAAACAGCATGGGGTGGGGGGGGGGGAAGGCAGGAGCCCTCCTCCACCCATCCTGCACTCCGGAGCTGAATTAGGCTCCTGCGAATCTTCAAAATGCTTTTCCCTGCAGCTGCTGGGGGGTTGTGAGGAAGGCGATTCAGTCCAGGAAACTTGGACCTGACTCGTTACAGAACGTAACTTGTAGCTTGACTCTCTCTGCTAAGGACTGCACTGCAAATCTTTCTCCAATACTTGGAGAGCAGCCCTCATTTGAGATGTGAAGGCGCAGAATAATAATAGAAAAATCACGTGTTCTGTATATATCTCATATTGGTGACATCTCTGGGCCCATACACAAATGTGTGCAGGGCTGGAAGCCAGAAAAATCAGTCATCGAAATGGCCGCCATTAGTTGTTCATTAAAACATATGAGGTATATAATAAATAAAGAAGAAGGAGATTGGATTTATACCCCACCCTTCACTCAGAGTCTCGGAGCAGTTTACAATCTCCTTCCCTTCCCCTCCCCACAACAGACACCCTGTGAGGTAGGTAGCTGAGGGAGCTCTGAGAGAACAGCTCTGAGAGAACTTTGACTGATGCAAGGTCACCCAGCTGGTTTCATGTGGAGGAGTGGGGGAATCAAACCTGGTTCTCCCAGATTAGAGTCTGCTGCTCTTAACCCCTACACCAAACTGGCTTCTTTCTGACAGCCTTGCTGTTGAAATACCAGGGTATCACCTTGTCTGCCCTGTCATTCGTGAGCACTTGGCTTAAGAATAGTCACTGAGAGGACGATAGCAACGTGGGTGGAAGATGGGTGGAAAGGTGGCATCCAGCAACGTGGGTGGAAGATGGGTGGAAGATGGGTGGAAAGGTGGCATAATGCTGCCGCTACTACTACTACTACTACTAATAATATAAATGGGGGGAAAGGTGGTATAAAATGCTTCAAACAATAAATAATAATATCAATGGGGGAAAAGGTGGTATAAAATGCTTCAAACAATAAATAAACAAACTATACTTACTAAGTTCCCTGGGGAGGCTTCCTTTGCCATCAGCATTTAAGCAGAATTTCACTTTAAAGCTATTGGGAAGAATTAAAGGACAGTGTAAAAAAACACACCCTATCGTTTAGTGCAGACAGACCAAGACACAACCACTGAGCACTACAGTCACAGTAGGGACTTCGTCAGTGTAGGAGACAGAACGGATTGTATCCTGGATCTTGCCCACCGGAGCTATCAAACAGCATCCAGTGTTGGTTGAGTAAGTGGCACTGCATTTAATGAGACCTGAAAATTATTCTGCCCCCCCCTCTCTCTCTCCACTTCCAGTTAGGAATTATACTTTCCTGAGATAACTGTTTGCCCACGTAAGCTCAGGGGTAATTTCCTGCAGGAGCGCACAGGAGCGGAGCTCCGGCAGTAAAGAGCTCAGGGGGCGGGCACATGCAACAAGCCCCACCCCCTGCTCCCAGCAGCCCTCAGTCAGAGCAAAAAGCAGCCAGGTAAGTTGCAGAGCTCCCCTCCCCCCCGTCCAAAACAGTCCAGTGGCACCTGTAAGACCAAGTTTTATTCAGGTATAAGTTCTCCCTCCTCTGCGAGGACAGACCTGCATGTCCCCCCCCCCCAATAGCTAGCAATCCAAAACAGTCCAGTGGAGCCTGAGCGGTGGGTGTTGCCTTCTGACACACTTCTGGTGATGTCGGTGGGTGTGGCATATTCAAATAAGTTATGCTAATGAGCTCCTGCACCTCTTTTTCTACGAAATGACCCCTGCGTAAGCTGTTTAGTCAAAATCAACCTGCTGTTTATTTTGTAGGCAGCTTTTCTAAATGGTGAACACTTGGAGGATCAGCACCCAAGGGCTGCTTTGAATTTTCAAAAGAAGTGGCAAGAGAAGACACGTTAAGAGACTTGCATTTCCTTTCCAGCTGCTTCCAGCTGCAGTCCGAAGCAGGGAAGATGCACATTTCTCCCATAGTGAGTTTCATGTTTGCCTAATCAAGGTGTGTGTTTGTGTCTATTTTCCCCGTCCCATTTCACAATTCCTCTGTTGGACGGCTCCCTGCCCTATGCTCTGTTTCACTGGCCATCCAGAGAGGCTTTAGAACAGGGTTGCCAGGTCATACCTGGTTGCTGCCGGGGGGTGGGGGTGGTCCAGTCTTCTTCTGGGAGTCATCTGTTCTGTATATATTTGATATTAGAGCCCCGCCCTGCCTGACATGCCTGGTGAGATGACGTCACCCAGAGGTCACGTCATCACACCGGGCATGTCAAGTGGGACGCTCCAGCATTTGGGGGGGGGGGAACCTCTATGGTCACCACAGAGTTTTTGCCCAAATGCTAGAGTGTCCCCCGCATGATGTCATCGCACCAGGCACATCAGGCGGGCCAGGGCTCCCTGCTAGGCAGCTGGTGGATTGGGGTCCCTGAAATCGGGGGAAACCCCGCCCCCATCGGGGGGGATGACAACCCTAGTTTAGGATGTGGAATTAGATGAGCACAGAAAGCATTAAATGGGACTCTACACCGTAATTAACCACTTTCCCCACCATCTGGAGCAACCTAAAGCCAGGGGGAAATTTAGAGGGTGGTAAATCCAAAACCAAGCCTACTCCCAACCAGTGTTCCCTCTAAGCTGAGTCGGTGTGAGCTAGCTCAGTTTTTTAGCCTCCGGCTCACACCTTTTTGTCCGAGCTCGCTCAGGAAGGAGGGCTCCGGAGCAAACTAATTGATGCAGGAGCCAAATTGCTTGCTCACAACTTTGATGCCAGTAGCTCACAAGGTAGAATTTTTGCTCACAAGACTCCACAGCTTAGAGGGAACATTGCTCCCAACCGTTGGACGGCTCGTGCATCTTTCCACTTTGGAAATGTTCAGCAGCCTCAGAAAGCAAACGCAGTTCATTCTGAATTTTCTTTCCTGATTCCTTTCGCCCCTCTGAAGAGGCCCTTTGTCCATTAACCAGTCTTGAAATGTTAATTTAAGATACCTGAACGGGAAAGTAAGCTTGCTTACCAAGAAACTTTCTGGCCGCTTTCAGTCAGGTCACAGGATTTGCTCTCTGGATTGAGGATGGACGGGGCGACTTCCAGTACCGCATTTACAGTAATGACTGGGCGGGCCCTTTTAAAAGAACCCGAATGGTAAACAAAGAGGCATACCAAAACCGTAACTTTCCCTCTACAGTATATCTCAAAATACTTCATGCACTTAAAGTAGGATGACAGAGTAACAAGAAGTAACATAACAGATGCAGCACTGCTTTCAGTCAGGTCACAGGACTTGCTCTCTGGATTGAGGATGGACGGGGTGACTTCCAGTACCGCATTTACGGTAATGACTGGCCGGGCCCTTTTAAAAGAACCCGAACGGTAAACAAAGAGGCATACCAAAACCGTAACTTTCCCTCTACAGTATACCGTTGGACGGCTCGTGCATCTTTCCACTTTGGAAATGTTCAGCAGCCTCAGAAAGCAAACGCAGTTCATTCTGAATTTCTTTCCTGATTCCTTTCGCCCCTCTGAAGAGGCCCTTTGTCCATTAACCAGTCTTGAAATGTTAATTTAAGATACCTGAACGGGAAAGTAAGCTTGCTTACCAAGAAACTTTCTGGCCGCTTTCAGTCAGGTCACAGGATTTGCTCTCTGGATTGAGGATGGACGGGGCGACTTCCAGTACCGCATTTACAGTAATGACTGGGCGGGCCCTTTTAAAAGAACCCGAATGGTAAACAAAGAGGCATACCAAAACCGTAACTTTCCCTCTACAGTATATCTCAAAATACTTCATGCACTTAAAGTAGGATGACAGAGTAACAAGAAGTAACATAACAGATGCAGCAGAAAAGAGCAAGAGTCCAGTGGCACCTTAAAGACTAACAACATTTGAGGCAGGATATGAGCTTTCGTGAGTCACTGCTCACTTCTTCTCACAAATGACTCACAAAAGATCCTCCCCTGCCACAAATGTTGTTAGTCTTTAAGGTACTGCTGGGCGCTTGCTCTTTTCTGCTGCTAAAAGGTAAAGGTAAAGGTTCCCTTGCTCGAAAGCCAGTCGAGTCTGACTCTAGGGTTGCGCTGCTCATCTCCGATTCAAAGCCGAAGAGCCAGCACTGTCCGAAGACGTTTCCGTGGTCATGTGGCCGGCATGACTAGACACCAAGGCGCACGGAACGCTGTTACCTTCCCACCGAAGTGGTACCTATTTATCTACTTGCAATTTCTTGCTTTCGAACTGCTAGGTTGGCAGGAGCTGGGACTAGAGACGGGAGCTCACTCCGTCATGCAGCACACCCGGGTCTCGAACTGCTGAACTACTGACCTTCCACAGCCTGCAGTTCAGCGTCTTAACCACTTGAGCCACCGCAGCTCCTTTTCTACAGACAGACTAACACGGCTACCCATCTTGATCTACAACAGATGTAGTCTGTGCTCTGGGCTCAGCCGTAGCCCTTCTGCTCGGCATGTCAAAAGTTCCAGGGTCGATCTCTGGCATCCCCACTTAAAAGGATCAGAGGGTGGGTGACAAGAAAGACCTCTGCCTGAGACTCTGGAGAGCAGCTGCCAGTCTGAGTAAACAATGCTGACCTTGACGGACCAGTGGTCTGATAAGACAGTCGCATGTATACGTGTACCCAAAAAATCAGAAGATAACCTTGTGAGAATGTTGTGGTCATTCTGCCACAATGTAGAGATATCCCCCCCCCATCTTAACTTTCCTCTGATCGGCAAAGAGTTCACAAAGCATCCTGGAATACCAAAGCTCTCCTTGACGGCTTGCTTGCCCTAATACAGCCTGATAAAGGGAGACGGACTTCACTGTGTTTATTACTGCAATACAAGCATCACCAAGCTTTCTTTTACTTTTCTGAAGCTCTCTTACCTATATAAGGCAACTCTGTCAACGCCAAAAGCTCCTACGATCAAGTCTGAAAATAGAATATGTTAATACAGATTTGGAAGTTTATTCATTTCTTTTAAGCGTCCTATTCTGACCATTAGTATGCCTCCACTGTACAACACTGACAGACGCCCTCTGCTCCAAAACAACGGGGCCAGATTTAAACTGGGACATGAACGTGTGAAGATCCCAAAGTTCTAAATGCTTTCTTTTGTCATGTGACTTTGAATCAGGCACTCTGATACATAAGAACATAAGAGAAGCCATGCTGGATCGGGCCAATGGCCCAGCCAGTGCAACACTCTGTGTCACACAGGTGCCAAAACCCAGGTGCCATTTGGAGGTCCACCAGAGAGGCGAGAACTCCAGAAGATCTCCTACTGTGGCCCCCAAGCACCAAGAAGACAGGGCATCACTGCCCCAGACATGAGAACATAAGAGAAGCCATGCTGGATCAGGCCAATGGCCCAGCCAGTCCAACACTCTGTGTCACACAGGTGCCAAAACCCAGGTGCCATTTGGAGGTCCACCAGAGAGGCCAGAACTCCAGAAGATCTCCTACTGTGGCCCCCAAGCACCAAGAAGACAGGGCATCACTGCCCCAGACATGAGAACATAAGAGAAGCCATGCTGGATCAGGCCAATGGCCCAGCCAGTCCAACACTCTGTGTCACACAGGTGCCAAAACCCAGGTGCCATTTGGAGGTCCACCAGAGAGGCGAGAACTCCAGAAGATCTCCTACTGTGGCCCCCAAGCACCAAGAAGACAGGGCATCACTGCCCCAGACATGAGAACATAAGAGAAGCCATGCTGGATCAGGCCAATGGCCCAGCCAGTCCAACACTCTGTGTCACACAGGTGCCAAAACCCAGGTGCCATTTGGAGGTCCACCAGAGAGGCGAGAACTCCAGAAGATCTCCTACTGTGGCCCCCAAGCACCAAGAAGACAGGGCATCACTGCCCCAGACATAAGAACATAAGAGAAGCCATGCTGGATCAGGCCAATGGCCCAGCCAGTCCAACACTCTGCGTCACACAGTGGCCAAATATACCAGCTGCCATCAGGAGGTCCACCAGCGGGGCCAGTACCAGCAGAAACTACCTGGTCCTTATTGAAATGTCACCTGGGTAGCCATTTTTGTCCACGTCAGTCGCTCCTTTCAATGAGTATCCAAAGCTCGGTGGCATCGTCTGAGAGGCCCACTGTCCTTCGAGGATTTGAGATGGTACTCCATTCAGACCGGTGGCTCTCCCATTGTAGATGTAAACCATTCCTTTCCTGTCCTCTCCACCATAAGGAGCAGACACTGCAATGTCTATGAGACAAAAAAAGGAATTCTTGGAATCTCCAAATAGAAAAAAAATACGTGAAACGTACTGTATTTACCAGAATGTACGCTTAAAGAGATTCTGTGGCAGCCCAGGATCCAACTAAGCCATTTGGCGCTATCCAACCCATTTAGAACAGTTTGCGTGCAGGTGTGTCAACTGACTAAGCCGCGGACTTAGATATGACAAAAAATATATATACAAATAAGGGTTCAAACTTTTCCAGTATGACTCAGCTAGACTGGGCCTTATCATGGAAACAAAATGTGGCTTAAATTGTATTTCGAAGTGTAAAGGGCTTCAAGCATAGCTCTGTCAGCTAGGGCAAAGTGTCCTTTGCAAATAAAAGGGCGTCTTACGTGGTACAGGAAGGCCTTTGCTTATTCAAAGGGTTGCCAGCTCTGGGTTGGGAACAGGGCATCACTGCCCCAGACATAAGAACATAAGAGAAGCCATGCTGGATCAGGCCAATGGCCCAGCCAGTCCAACACTCTGCGTCACACAGTGGCCAAATATACCAGCTGCCATCAGGAGGTCCACCAGCGGGGCCAGTACCAGCAGAAACTACCTGGTCCTTATTGAAATGTCACCTGGGTAGCCATTTTTGTCCACGTCAGTCGCTCCTTTCAATGAGTATCCAAAGCTCGGTGGCATCGTCTGAGAGGCCCACTGTCCTTCGAGGATTTGAGATGGTACTCCATTCAGACCGGTGGCTCTCCCATTGTAGATGTAAACCATTCCTTTCCTGTCCTCTCCACCATAAGGAGCAGACACTGCAATGTCTATGAGACAAAAAAAGGAATTCTTGGAATCTCCAAATAGAAAAAAAATACGTGAAACGTACTGTATTTACCAGAATGTACGCTTAAAGAGATTCTGTGGCAGCCCGGGGTCCAACTAAGCCATTTGGCGCTATCCAACCCATTTAGAACAGCTTGCGTGCAGGTGTGTCAACTGACTAAGCCACGGACTTAGATATGACAAAAATATATATATACAAATAAGGGTTCAAATTTTTCCACTATGACTCAGCTAGACTGGGCCTTATCTTGGAAACAAAATGTCGCTTAAATTGTATTTCGAAGTGTAAAGGGCTTCAAGCATAGCTCTGTCAGCTAGGGCAAAGTGTCCTTTGCAAATAAAAGGGCGTCTTACGTGGTACAGGAAGGCCTTTGCTTATTCACAGGGTTGCCAGCTCTGGGTTGGGAAATACCTGGAGATTTTTTGGGGGTCAAGCCAGGGAAAAGGAGGGCTTGGGGAAGGGAGTAGGCTTGTGAGCCCACAGGGCTGGGCGGGATAGGTGTAGTGGTTAAGTGTGCGGACTCTAATCTGGGAGAACCGGGTTTGAGTCCCCACTCCTCCACTTGCACCTGCTGATGTGACCTTGGGTCAGTCGCAAGCTCTGGCACAGCTGTCCTTGAAAAAGAGCAGTTTCTGTCAAGAGCTCTCTCAGCCCCACCCACCTCACAGGGTGTCTGTTGTGGGGAGGGGAAGGGAAAGGAGTGTGTAAAACCGCTCTGAGACTCCGAGTGAAGGGCAGGGTATAAATCCAATCTCTTCTCTTCTTCTTCTCCCCACCACGAAACAGCAGGCTCGTGGGAGAAACCCCGCCCCTGAACAGGATGTGATGTTGTCACCCGGAAGTGATGTCATTGAGTTATCTGCAGCTTGCAGGGCAGGTGCCTGCGGCACTCACTTCCCCCCCATCCATTTCAAGGGAAAGGTCCCTTGAAATGGTTGGGGTGTGTGTGTGCACCACCGTGTCCCCGACGTGATAACGTAATTCTGTTTCCCTTCCCGGAACACTCCCTAAATCCCCCCACCGGCAACCCTAGCCCCACCCAATTTCTGAAAAGTTTTGCAGGCGCCAAGGGAAATACCGGCAGGCACCAAACGCGCCCAAGGGCACCATATTGGGAAACTCTGGATCAGACCAAGGGCCATCCAATCTTACTTTCTGGTTGGAAAGTGGCCAAGCAGAGTCAGTGAACAGCCAGAAGTGAACTCTACTGTACACAGCTTGAGTATAACCATGAAACGAATGAACAGGGTCGTGTTTTGACTATGCCTCACCGTTGAAGCCATCTTGGTCGAGGTCTCCCAGAGGTGCAATGGAGTTGCTGAACCTCGCAAAGACCTCAAAGCCGTTCAGCTTCGTGGGGAGGAAGCCTCCAGCCGCTTGCTGCAGATACACAGTCACCTGGCCCACTTCTAGAAGTTTGCCGTCGGAACCACGGTCCATAAAGAGGGGGGCTCCTATAAGCAAATCTGTGTAGCTGTAAAAAAAAGTCTTTCAACCACTGCAAAACAAAAATCCCCTTCCTGCTTTCAAAGTCACAGATTCACAGCGCTGACAATCACTTATCTGGGCCTTTTGATTCCAATGTGAGAATTAAGTGTGTGCTTGGACGCTTTCTGCATGGACGGCTCTCCCCGCCCCGGCACCTGTATTCCTCCGCCACTTTCCCTCGTTTCCGCAAATGTCTTTGCAGTCTCAGGAGCAAACATGCAGCTTGCCCCCTCTTGCTCCGCTGCGTCAGACTTCTCTGTTTCCAGGAATTCCCATGTTGCACCACAAGAGGGGGCAAACTGTGTTTTTCTGCTCCTGGGACTGCAAAGACATTTGCGGAAACGAGGGAAAGCGGTGGAGGAACACAGGTGCGGGTGCGCGGAGAGCCATCCCTGCAGAAAACACCTTAGCTTCTTCTCCTCTGGAATCCAAGAGAATGTGAAGTGCTGAGTCTCAAATGGATTGTAGCCACTGTTTGTAAGCACATTTGTGGCTCCATGCTTTTGGCTCAAGAACGGACTGTACGTGTATTAGACAACCGTGTTAAAATGTCAGAGCTATAATTTTTTAATTATGCCAATAAGGAGTAAGCAACACCACTCCCCATAACAGCATGGTGTAGTGGTTAAAGTGTCAGACTAGGATTTGGGAGACCCAGGTTCGAATCCCCACTTGCGCCACGGCAGCTTGCTGGGTGACCTTGGAGCAGTCACACACTCTCAGCCTACCCTACCTCACAGGGCTGTTGTCAGGATAAAACGGAAGAAAGGAGAAGAGTGTAAGCTGCTTCAAGTCCCCATTGGGGAGACAGGTGAGATATAAATAAGGTAAATAAACAATAACTAGGATCGCAAAGAAAGCTCATACACCAAGTATGATTCTGCCCATGTACAGGATGGGGGATTTGTGGAAAGGTTTAACGCAGAGGACAGAGGGTTTCACAAATAGTACTGAGACCAGTGTTCCCTCTAAGCTGAGTTAGTGTGAGCTAGCTCACAGTTTTTTAGCCTCTGGCTCACACATTTTTGTCTCAGCTCAGGAAGGAGGGCTCCAGAGCAAACTAATTTATGCAGTAGCCAAAGCTCCTGCTCACAGCTTTAATGCCAGTAGCTCACAAAGTAGAATTTTTGCTCACAGGGCTCCATAGCTTAGAGGGAACATTGAGACTAACAAATTATACTTTTTGCCAGTTTTGCCTTCCAGACGCAGTGCCTTCAGGGAATGCCACTCAGGGTTCGCCCAGCCTTTTATTTAGTTGGAGTATTTCTATGCTGCCTCTTCAGAGTCTAGCTTGAGGCCGCTTACAGTGAAATACACAAGCAGCATTAAAACTACCCTTAAAACAGAGGCAGACCATTAAAAAGCTTATAAGATTAAAAAAAACAAAAACCCTAATTAAAAGCCTGACTTAAAATGATGTGTTTTAGCCCGGTGCCGAAAGGAAATGAAAAGGAAGCGCCAGGCAAGCCTCGAGGGGGGAGGGGCATTCCAAAGGCGAGGTGTCACCACGGAAAAGGCCCTGTCTCTAGTAACCACCTGCCTCACCTCTAAAGGTGGGGGCACCCAGAGCAGGGCTCCAGAGGCAGATCTTGACTGGAGGGCTGGATAGTACGGGAGGACTTCTGGGTGGTTTTTGAGGGCCCGAAGACTTTCTGCCAGGAGGAGGAGACTGAAAAGCCTCTGTGCTCTCACAGCACATTGTGAATAGCTCTTTGGCCCCCAGCCAACATTTCACATTCCCATTCTCTGACCGACCGTATCCCCGAGCAACACAGAGCAATCACAAAGCCATAAAACAATTCAGTTACGGCATGATATAAATCAGCTAAAACCTCTTACGAAGCAAGCTATCCTTGATTCAAAACGTTGACAGATGCACCTTATTCAGAGAATGGGGCCCCCAGCCAACATTTCACATTCCCATTCTCTGACCGACCCGTATCCCCGAGCAACACGGAGCAATCACAAAGCCATAAAAACAATTCAGTTACGGCATGATACAAATCAGCTAAAACCTTTTACGAAGCAAGCTATCGTTGATTCAAAACATTGACAGATGCACCTTATTCAGAGAATGGGAATTGTGAGGGAGGGGGAGGGAAAATATGGGAAGATGGGAAAGAAAATTGTCGTGCTGGAAGGGAGACTTGGGTGATAATGGGCGATCCATGCTTGAGATCTAGATTTACAAACTGACAGACAGTCCCAAATCTCAGATTCTACTGTGTATGATGTCTTCACAGGATAATGAAGTAATGCATGAACTGCTCAAAAGTTCACACCAAGCATTTTGGATAAGATACTATGGGATTTAACAGAACAAGACAAATGTGGACAATCATGACCAATGTTCCCGCTAAGCTGTGGAGTCTTGTGAGCAAAAATTCTACTTTGTGAGCTACTGGCATTGAAGTTGTGAGTGAGCAATTCGGCTACTGCATAAATTAGTTTGCTCTGGAGCCATCCCGTCCTGAGCGAACACAAAAATGTGTGAGCTGGAAGCTAAAAAACTGTGAGCTAGCTCACACCAACTCAGCTTAGAGGGAACACTGATCATGACCTAATCAGAGAACAAATGTAAAGAAAACAGTCGTGAGTGTCTGAACCACAGATCAAGCAGTCGACAAGACTCGCAAAGAAAATGCTTTCTGTATATTATGGTCAACAAGCACTACAACACAACAAACAAATTCCTTCAAATCATAAGAAAATCCCAGTGTGAAAATACATCATCAACGTCGTCTCCGGATTATATAACAACGTTTCAAAACTGGATCTTCCTCAGGCTTGTTGACCATACAAATGTAAAGAAAACAGTCGTGAGTGTCTGAACCACAGATCAAGCAGTCGACAAGACTCGCAAAGAAAATGCTTTCTGTATATTATGGTCAACAAGCACTACAACACAACAAACAAATTACTTCAAATCATAAGAAAATCCCAGTGTGAAAATACATCATCAACGTCGTCTCCGGATTATATAACAACGTTTCAAAACTGGATCTTCCTCAGGCTTGTTGACCATAATATACAGAAAGCATTTTCTTTGCAAGTCTTATTGACTGCTTGATCTGTGGGTCAGACTCTCACGACTTACATTTA